GATGTCTGGAAGCATTCACAGGGACAGGATATTCGAATACAGGTCAGTGGTCCCAAGGCTAAGTCAGAAGATCACAAGACATATTTAGTACCGGGGGGCAGATGTTGAGTGACATGATCGAAATGTAGATTCCAGTTGCGTTAACCACAGAAATTATCAATATACCTTGAAGGATTTTCATATTTTTCTTAGACTGAAAATGATAAAACACCAAACCGCTGTTATATATATATATATATATATATATATATATATATATATATATATATATGTGCATATGCGTGTGAGTGTCTAAAAGTGATGTAGAGTGATTTTCTAAGCTAGTTTAGATGCGGCACAAGGCCGAATGGATCAGGCACCCAATGAGGATTGAACTCACTACTTTGTCAGAATTGTTCTCGTGAGACAAGCTTGTTAACCATTTCGCCACGCCGAGGTGCATTTTGATTTTCTAAGAGTAGCTTAAATGTGGCACAAGGCCAATGTATGGGACACCTAGTGAGGATTGAACTCACTATTCTCTCATAGTTGACCTAAAGAGACATGCTTGCTAACCATTCTACTTCGAAGTGCACAAAATAATTTCTAAGTAGCTTAAACAAGACTTATGTATATATATATATATATATATATATATATATATATATATATATATATATATATATATATATAAATGTGTGTGTGTGTGTGTAGATATGTAGAAAAATACGTACGTAAATAATCCGGAGTTCTTCAGTATTTTTGTTTTTATTTTTAAAAAACAGTGCTCCATACAAAAGTAGAGCTTAAATTATAATTATTTTTTGAAAAAATATGATTCCTTCGCTACATAAGAGTTCTCATGTTATTTTAGCTATACTTAAAACTAGGTATACTTTATAACATTTTTTACAGATTATTTCTATCGCAAATACAAATAAAGCCATAATGTTTTTAAAGTGCACAGAAACTTTATGGACACCCTGTATTGCCTAAATCCATGATTGCATTAGATTTTCATCACACCCAGACACTATTGTCTCGACTGTTGATTAGTTGTCCTACGCTGCGATGGACATTACTCCAAGGAAGCGTACGAAACATTTGTAACGCTGTACGAACAGACAGGAAAGCCATACTAGAGAGCAAATCAATGTACTATAAACTTGCCCGGAAACTCTCCTGATTTAAATCCAATCTAGAATCTCTGGTCAATCTGCAAGGAACGACTTCGTGGGATGGACATACGAAGTTCTAACATGTGCACTGGATTATGTTTCATTGGAAAAATATGAAAAAAACTAAATAATAACGGAAGTATTCGTTTAGTTTCAATTAATTTGCACAAGGGTATATATATATATACAGAAAAATTTACCAGTAAAAAATTTGTTCATCACCATATTTTATATGAACGCACAACCTTTAAAAATTCAAAATCAAACTCAGCGTTGCTTCTGCGTTCAAAAACAATAACTCATTTTCAATAGCATTTTCGGATACAACAATACATATATTTTCGTTGTCCTCTTATTACTAAGAGAAAAAACAAGAACAACATCTATTCTATACCTGAAGATGTCTGTAGGAACAGACGAAAGCTTGTAGTAAAAATAAGAACTAATACGACAGAAATTTATATAAACAAGGGTCATTTCATTCATAACGGATTCGGAGGTTTTTGTATATTATTTGAATTGTTTGCGATGATGGATGTCTCGCCATTTTAAATCATTAACATTTGCATTAGTTTTTGTGTGAATAATTCATGTATATATATATATATATATATATATATATATATATAAATATATATATATATATATATATTTCTTTATGCGGATCCCTATATGGATTACTATTCAAGCGAGAATTATCGAGCAAGTATTAGAGTTGGTGCAAAAATAATGTCGTTTTTGACGTTAAAAAGTACGTCAAAAAACGACATTATTCCATTATTTTTGCACCAACCTAATACTATTAGTGCGAGTGTTATTCGACGGCATCTGACACCAGTATTGTTTAATGGCGTTACTAAAGTTATATCTGCGATTACAAAGTCTCTACTACAACGAGCATTACAAAAGTGACAAAGATTATTCGTTGGCATCACAAAAGTGGCGAGGAGTGTTCGTTGAGTTCACAGAAATATATGCAAGTTTAAAGAAGAAGCGGTCTGATATGTCTACAAAACTGAGTGGGTGTTTATGTATGTACACATACTTGTAGATAAAATAAACTTGATTTTAATTTTCGTTGAGGAAGAACAGAGGCGTGTCCGAAAATTTCGATTTTTAAAATTTTTCTCATCACACTAATATTTAACCGAGAGGCCTCCTAATATACGTATATATATGTATCATTATTTTTATTAACATTAGTACCATCATCATTATTGTTTTTAGACCATCGAATAACTTCATCAGTCTAATATCTGTCTCTCTGTTTGTCTGTCTGTCTGTCTCTGTCTCTGTCTCTGTCTCTGTCTCTCTCTCTTTATATATATATATATATATATATATATATATATATATATATATATATATATATATATATATATACAGATATGGTCAATTAAACCGAATAACAGTTAGAATAATACAACAGGCCTCCACATAAAACGTTTAACCATCAAACTGTCGCCGCTGGGTATTGACTTCTAAGTTCACACACACAAGCACACACACACACATGTTTGGGCAGCAACGTTTCAAAATAATACGGACAATTATTGTACTTTCTTACAACCACTAAACGGTAAAATATAAAAGTGCTGGAAAAACTAAATTTCTTTTTCCTAGTCTTTTACATTTACGCATAAATATATATATATATATATATATATATATATATATATATATATATATATATATATATATATAGTTTATGCAAATTTAGGTAATCCGTATGGGTACACCTGAGGAGAATGATATCCAGAGAGCTCAATGTAAAATTCAGAGCAGATATGTTTGAATAAAAGACAGACCACGTTAAGATTCCATGTAATAAGCTATTTCACCATAACCCCTTTAACAGGGTTCTGGATCCTCAGACTTTACTTCCAAAAGCTGAAAGGAAAAATGAAATCTTAACGTGGTCTGTTTAAAAATATAAATATATATATATATATATATATATATATGTTTCTTTTTTGTAGATAGTGGTTCTGTTGTAATATTTTGGTCTATTGCGTGGTATGACGTCAGAGAACCTCATCTCGAACTTACAATTTTGCGTCTGCTATTCCACGACCGTTATCGCCGCATAGCAATTTTCTGTCAAAATAACAAAATATCTTCTTTGTTTCATGTTTGTATAACCACTCTGAGGATGGCTCATATAAGCCGAAAGTTTCGGATCAACTTAATAATGAAATATCCACAGGTTTGACAATTTTTGTCTTTTATATATATATATATATATATATATACACAAAAAAAACACGCACACACGCACATATATATATATATATATATATATATATATATATATATATATATATATATGAAGAAATATACTCTTAAGATGTGCTATATTTATGGGATAAAGTGCTCAATTTCAGAGATAGAGCGTGTGTAAAATATAAAAGTGAACATTGAAGTCAACACTTCGAGGCGACAGGCTGTTTCATGCTAGATGCAATCGTGGCCTGACGATTGAATCTAGCATGAAACAGCTTTGTTTAAAATATGTATTAATAATAGAACTCGTTTTGAAAACGTCGGATAGCTAAACTTGCAGATATGTCAGGACAAAACGGTACCCGAGGAAAAAATTGGAATAAAAAAAGAAAGAACTAAAAACATCAGAACAAGAGGAAACAAATCGCCAAGTGCTTTAAGTTCTTAGTCTAAAGAAAAAAAAACCCGAACAAGTAGAAAGACTAAAGTGTGCTCAATACGCTAAGTAGAGCGATAAACTAGACTAATATATATATATATATATATATATATATATATATATATATACACTGCGTGCCAAATTATTATCGAGATAACTTTTTTTCTAATATTTCAAAAACCGTCCAATCAATTCAGACAATGTTGGCAACACTGAACTGCGCAATCGCTGAAATCTTTGTACTGATCTGCGCAATGTAAACAAACTGGCGCCATATTAGTTATCAGCACGGTAATTTGAGCGTGCCAAATTATTAGAAAAGTATAAGACTTTAGTGAAAAGATGGGCCGTAAAAGCAGTTTAAGTGATGCTGAAAAGAAAACTATTACCTCAGAACTCTCAAAAGGTAAATCTACCCTAGAAATCTTTAAAATGATAGGGAGGTGTCATCAGACAGTGAAAAAGTTCACCGCCGACCCTACACAAGTACGCAAAAGAGCATATAAAGGCAAGCCGAGGGTTATTTCACGTCGTGTTATGTCACGACTTAAACGAGAGGCCACGAAGAACCCTGGACTTACCAGTCAAGAGCTTTTCAGTCGTATTGGGGATCCTACTGTGTCTAAAAGTACTCGGCGTCGGTATCTGAAGGAAATAGCAACAACAGTCAAACCTGTATCGAAGTCTCCGTTGACGAGAAATCACATTCAAAATCGATTGAAATGAGCCGAGGACAATATGAAGATTGACTTCTCTAAAGTTTTGTTCGCAGACGAAACTTGAGCAACACTTGATGGGCCAGATAGATGGTGCAAAGACTGGGTAATGAACGGACAGAATCGCCATCAGTGTTTGAGACGCCAACAAGGCGGTGGAGGCATAATGATCTAGCGTGGTATTATTGGAAACACATTAGTGGGTGCATGGAGAATACTAGATGGCGTCAAAATGACTGCTGATGCATACATAGCATTTATGAAGGAGCATCTTGAACCGTGGATGAAAAGGCAAAGAGTTGCCTTCAGAAGGGCCATTGTTTTTTTATGCAAGATAACTTTCCCTCACACGCTGCTCACAAGACTACTGAATATTTGAAACAGCTAGGCTTCGATGGACCTCGAAAAATGAAGTGGCCAGCAAATTCTCCGGATTTGAACCCAATCGAAAACCTTTGGAGCATCATGAAGCGAAGACTGTACGCCAACGGACGACAATTTAAGAGCAACGCTGAGTTGTGGGAAGCAATTTTTGACATATCTCACGGCATTACATCAGATGACATCCTACAATTAATAAATTCCATGGATCGTCGACTTTTTCAAGTAATTTCAAAACAGGGAAAGCATATTCCCTATTAATTTGTTTAAAACTGTGCCTTTGTTTGTATCTGTTATTATTTGTTTGATTTATCTTATTTATTAGCTTCTTTTGATCATGAACATTCACATTCAACATTAATAAACGTTTTCTTTACTCAATTCTGGGAATTTTACTAAACCTTTCTAATAATTTGACACGCTCAAATCACCATGCTGATAACAAACATGGCGCCAGTTTGTTTACATTGCGCAGATCAGTAGGAAAATTTCAGAGATTACGCAGATCAGTGTTGCAAACGTTGTTTGTGTGAATTGATAGGACGGTTTTTGAAATATTAGAAAAAAAGTTATCTCGATAATAATTTGGCACGCAGTGTATATATATATATATATATATATATATATATATATATATATATATATATGCAAACTTGCACACATAAACGCACATAGTGTAGCGGTCAATATGGCATCATCTAAGCGTGTCCATAGGATAACTTTTCTAACGTTAAGAGACGTTCGGGCAAAAGAGAAAACGAATTGGCGAATATCGGTTTCATCTTTCCATTTCTTTGTATAAAGGATAGACATTACTTGTATACTGACCTCTGACCTTTTCCCCAAAATACGCTTGTTTATTTCACTGGCGTGTGGCTATTACGTAGAATTTATATAACTACGTACGTCTATTTGTGTGCGCGCGCACCTGCGTGTGCGCGTGTCTGTCTGTCTGTCCTCAGACAGCTAACATTTCTCAAAAAACAATTATTGGTGAATCTGCGCAGCTCGGAAGAATCATTCAGTCTTGTGTCAAAACGAGTCAGCATTCACAAACTAATTTGCGTATTTGTGGAGCAAGGCTTCAGTCTTTCATTTATTTTTTTACAACTATTGTATCGTGGCTTAGGTATTTATGGCTGATCATCTATCTATGTATGTATCTACGTCAATCTATTCATGTCTATCAATGGCATTTTTTTTCTATCTGTCTATTTATGTCATCTATCTATCTATCTATCTATCTATCTATCTATCTATCTATCTATCTCTGTTTCTTAATATCTATCAATGTTATAATCGGTTAATAGTTAACTATTTTTCTTCTTGTAACTATTCTCCAGATTATCTATTTATTTACGGTCACCAAAAGCTGAGAAAAAGAAAACGTTTATATCAGGAAAGATTTCTATCTATCTATCTATCTATCTATCTATCTATCTATCCGCGTTTGTTAATATATCTCTGTTTCTGCCAACAGTATCCACATTTCTCATCCATATAGGAGAATGGAGACTACAAGCCATTTGTACAGTCAGTACTTTGTCTGAAAGCTGATTTTATTCTCAATTTGGCCATCTCTGTCATGGCTGCGGCAATTATTTACATTACATTAAAATAATTTATACTGCCTTTTTAACATTACTAACACCTTAACTACCAATTGATAAAAAAAATGAACATGGGCAGAAAATGCAAAATATCAGACAAGCGATCTTCAGGTTAGTTGTACACAAACAAATAAATACTAATGCACCAGGTAATCGTGAACAATGAGAAAGAAGCAATAATAAAAACTAGCAGTAGAGCCCGGCGTTGCCCGGGGATGCAACAGTAAGAGATAGATCAAGTATCGACCATCATAAAGATTGAAAAATAAAATTGACAAAGATTGTTTAAGGTTGACGGACAAACATGTCTTAATTAGTTTTTTTTTTTGTTTTTTTTACGAATTGGTCAAACCCAAACACAAACAAAAACATTGTTTTCAATCGTTATGAGTCTATCGATTGAATAGAATTTTATTATAAATAATTGTCTTGTAAATGGAAGTTTTAAAGTATTCTGAATGTAAAAATAAAGAAAAAAGTGTGCAAGACAATAAGAAACACTACCTGCCAAAAAAAGTGAAGTTTTATTGAAATCAGTTGAAAAATGTAGGAAATCCGATCCTATATATAAAGGAACACACACACACACACACAAACAACCTGGGTTTTATAAGTATAACTCGATATGAGTTGTCCCCCTTTTATTCTTGTGAGAGAATCGTGTTTTATCGTGTTTTAAAATTGATTTCGTGCAAAAACAATTGTGTTTTTCCAATTTTTGGTGCTGTCAGAACTACCGCAAGGTAATTTTACACAGTCCTATGAAGTTTTGTTGGAATCAGTTGAAAAATGTAGGAAATCTGATCCAATATATAAACGTACAGACACACACACGCACACACACACACACACACACACACAATCTGCGTTTTATAATAAGTAAGATACTTACATAACTTCAAATAAATAAAATAATCATAATATATATATATATATATATATATATATATATATATAATAAATGAATTAAAAGAAAAATATTTTCGAATTATATGAAATTATTCCCGAAATTCTCCATGTATAATACGACGTCATTCACAATACGCACCCCTTAAATTGTACTGAAATTATGAGAAAATGATTCTACTCACGCATAATACGCATCCCTTGTTTGGTAATCAATCCCTATATATTGTACGTCTCCAGTTTCATTACGGCCAGCGTTTCCAACGCTTTTAAAACAATATGGTCTTGAACATAGAATACTATATTTCTAATTTAGTTTTATGATAATTCTTATTTTATTTTAAATTTGTAAGTATTTTTAGGTAAATATGATTGTATTTGACATCCTTATGGGGTCGCAATCGCTGAATGTTAGTGTCAAATTGTATGTTTGTAGTCATTTCGCAACTGAAATCGAACTATTTTTTGTAGCTGTGCATAATAAGCACTCCTAATTCTGCTTATTATTTTTTAGAAAGAAAATGCATATTTTACATGGGAAATGGCGGTATATTACTTTTAAGTAATATTTACGTGTTTTTCTTTTCTTTTCTGCAGTTAAACTTAAAATCCGTTCGACTTTTGAGCTGCGAAAAAACGCTCCATCTCTGCTTGTGTTCAGAACGTCAAATGAAAATAATAAGAACACGAAGAAGATGAAGAAAAGTGTCAGATTATTTTCTCCTAATTCCCGAAACTGTTCCTAGGGGGCGCTCTGCAACACTATAAATAACCAGCGATATCGTTTCTCGCTCTCTTCTTACTTTTCCGCTTATACGACAACATGTAAATCTCTCGCGGAAAATCGCATTTCCCTTTGTGGGAAACGCATGGACAGTACACACACACACACACACACGCGCGCGCGCATATTTACACACACTCACTTCACATACTTTGGAACATGGAACAAAAAGTTTCCACATTCGTTTGTTTGTACATATATATCGATTCTTTTTGTTTCTTTACATTTTTTAGATGTACGTACGAGTCTATCTATCATGTTTGTTTGCACTTACTGGCCATTGGATTGGCATCAAAATTTATTATCTGTTTTCGCCGTCTCTAATAGTAATGGTGTCAGGTTAACTCTTCCTAATTTTCGGAACTGCTCCTAGGGGACGCTCTCCAGTATTATAAACACTACGCGATAATTATTCCACAACCTCTTCTTACTTTTCCGCTTATACGACAACATGTAAATCTCTAGCGGAAGATCGCGTTCCCTATTTGGGAAACGCATGAACAATACATACACACACACGTATGTACGTACATTCACTCACTTAACATACTTTAGACCAAAAAAGTTTACACATTCATTTGTTACACATATTATTGTCTTTGTCATTTGTAAACATTTTGTTAATACATTATCCTTTGTTTGTACATATATGTCCTTGTTGGTTCTTTACATTTTTTTAGATGGACTCATACTCATGTTTGCTGTGAGCATTTCAGAATGTAAACGTGTTTATCTCATAACGCGTACACTGGCTCGCATCAAAAGCATATTTTTAATATAGTTTCTATATTTTGTGAAGTGAGTATAGAGTTCTAAATTTTTAATCCGATTGATTTTTTTTTCTTATGCTGTTGATTGAAGAATATCTCCTTTCTTAGGGGTGCTACACACGAGGAAAACTGAAAAAGATATCGGTCTAGATTTTATGGCAACAAAATTTGGAATAATTATTATGGAACTGAAAAATGGTGACTTTCATGACGCATCTCAGAAACAATGTGCAAATTTTGAAACTGAAACGTTTCCTTATTTTCGGGGAACGATGGAGTAATGGATAGCGACTCGGATTGAGGAATCGGAGAGCCGAGTTCGAATTCCAGTTGAATCCATTACATTCACTTACGTGCTAATACCCTTGGGGAAAGAATCCTCTCCCGGCCCCCAGCTATGGGTAAGTAGCCTTGGATGGCAACTGGTCTAACGGGTTCTATAGCCTTGGATGGCAACTCGTCTACTGCGGGTAGAAAGCTGCCTCTTCAGAAAGATACATGATCGCCTAAGCGTGTATCATGTATAACACTTAACTGACTGAAATTTATTTACGTGCTAATACCCTTGGGAAAGGTATGGATCCTCTTCTTCTATCCCACCAGCTATGGATAAATGACAGGACAGACGGGGTTCTGTAGCCTTGGGTGGCAACTGGTCTACTGCTGAAATAAATGTCAACCTACTCCGGGAAAAATCTGTCTCGTCAGTCATGTATCAAAAGTTATATAATCACCTAAGTGTGTATCATGTATGGCACATAACTGACTGACTGTATGTGATGTAATGTCACAATTCACAAAAAATATACATGCAGCTTGCGTTCATTCTTACACGTCCCACTAAGACAGCGTTCGAACATTTTGAAGGTTTTTTTCCTTTAACGTTGCTTTGGAACGGCTCTGTAATCTTTACGATAGCTGACCAATTTGGTTCATTTTCTGATATGATATTTTGCGTCTAATCACCATTGGTACATTTTATTCCTGCAAGTGTGTCAAAGAATACCTCAAGATCTCTTGTGGTTAAAGGAATAATCGTCAGCTTCTTATTTTTCTTCTATGTGCCGTATGATTTCAGGACGTTGACGGTCATGGCTCTTCACAATTTCCTCTCCGTTATAGCTCTTAATCACTTTTGGCTTTTTTGTTCCTGATTCGTTCACTCAAGCTCGCCAGGTAGGTTGTGCGTTGCTTTTACTGTCTCTCTTACCTTCAATATGCCTTGTGAGTATCAAATTTTCCAAGCCATCCTACCTCATTGTGCGTCCCAGAAAACTCATCTAGCCCTACCTAATGTTAAGTAAAAGTGTCTTTTTTGCTATCATTGTCTTCGTCGGTTCTTACATATTGGGTTCATGGCATTCTCAGCATCCTTCTGTAGAACTACATTTTGCTTCAGGTCGGCTCTTCATTTGGTATCCAATTTTCTAAACCCTCTTTCTTCATTACTAGCCCTAGAAATTCCAACTATCTCTTTCTGATGTTAAGTATATGTGTCCTTTTTTGCTAGCATTTTCTCTAAAACTTTATCATTGGATCATTCCTTGGTATTATCAGCATCCTTCTGTAGAACCACATTTGTTTTGCTTCAAGTCTTTTTCTTCATGTATGAAGAGGTTGTCCAGCATTCACTATCATATAGGAGAACTGATGTTACATAACAGTTCAGTTTTTCTTTGTTTCTAACGAATTTCTTGTGTTTCTTAATACTTTGCTTAGCTTTTGGAAGGCATTTTTCGCTATCTTAATGTGCCTTAGAATTTCCAGGTCACACTTCCCGTCCTCCGTAAATACGCTTCGCATATATCTAAATTGTTGCACCTTTTTGATTTTGATATCTCAAATCTGTAATTTGCATTTTGGTCTCTTCCTTTTCATTCCGTCTTATTGCAATTGATGTTTTATCCTTTCTTCTGGCTTCCCTTCATTACCTTCCGTAGGCGTCCTTGTTGTTTTCATTTCTATGACCGCTATCAACACTATGTCATCTGAATATACAGAGTGACCCCAAGAAATAGGAACTTTTTAACAATCGAATAAAACCAAGAGTGATGGAAGACAATACTTTATTCATAGTAATTGAAACCTTAAAACATGCCATTTAAGAAACAATGATGGAATTTTCATTTTTTTTTTAAATTACGTCCTGTAGATGGCGTCCTCCTGTACGAATGCATACTTGAAATCTTCTGTTGAGATTCTTCATTGACTGCTGCAACATCTCAGCTGGGATACTGTGAATTTCATCTCGAATTCTCTGGCAGATCCAGTCTCTTCAAAGTTATTAATCCAGCATATTCTCGCGTGTTTTGATGGAACAGCACTATGACGTCCTAAGTTGTAAAAACGTCGGAACTCCCTCTGTGCAGCTGTCAAAC